GCCCGGGAGCACACTGCCTGCGCCCCGCCGCCAGCGCGGGGAGCGGGCTCGGCCGGGAGAAGGGACCGGCCCAGCTGCGGCTAGTGCTGGTCCGACCGCGTGCGAGCGGAGCTAACCACATTTTTCCCTCTTCTCCTTCCTCTTCTCTTCTTCCCCCTTCCCTCCCTCTTGTCTTTGCAGCAAATGGAGCTGCTTCTGGTGAATAAGCTGAAATGGAATCTGGCTGCAATGACCCCCCACGATTTCATTGAACATTTCCTTACTAAAATGCCTCTGGCAGAGGACACCAAGCAGATCATCCGTAAACATGCTCAGACTTTTGTGGCTCTGTGCGCTACAGGTATGAGCCCTGCACGTTAAAGCAAAAAGCGTGTTGCTCCCCGACACGCACCTACCCCCTGGCTTGTAAAGCTTCCCGTAGCTGTGGTCTAAAGCGAGCTCGCAGAGCTGCGGGGAGGTAGTTTAAGCCCCGGTTATTGCCCCTTGTTTGCAGAAGGTGGATTACTTTGCAGAGGTAAGTTTTTTCAGAAGATATTTTGCTTCCGAGTCGAGTAGGCGGTGGTGTCAGGGAGGGAGAAGCACCCCCCTCTTTGTAGCTTAGCCGTGGAGTCGCAGCTCAGCGTGGCACGATTTCTTCACCTCCGTACGCCTGGTTTTATGCAGGGGCTGCAAAAAGGCTTACTGCCCGTGCGGGGAATCCCTCCCCGTGTGGATTCATTCTTAAGACCGTTTTTAAAGGCAGAGGGAGATTTTGCTTGTGAATAGCTCTGCGTGGGGGGTTTAAAACTTCCCTCTTCAAGTTGCCTCTTCCCCCCTCCTCGGTGGCTGGTGGATTGAAGGAGGGCCACGCGGCACAGAGGCTTTCCTGGCACAGGACCGAGCTGCTGCCATCTGCACCCTTCGGACCACGTGCTGTGCTGAAGCCATGTGCAGGGCCGGCCTCCAAAGACACCGACTGTTCGCTAGGCCAGGTTTGCAGAGGCCTGATCTTTGGTTTCAAGGGCACCGTGTGTGCGTGCGCGCTGGTTCTTTGAAGTTCTGTGTTTGCGTGTGGACTGTGTGTATGCATTTGTACGTGTACCAGCTTTACCCACTGAACCCTAACACGTGGGGAGGAAAAAAATAGTTTTAGAAGACTCTCTGTTCTCCAGAATCTTAACTGTTCCCGCAGGATAGAGTGGAGGAGCAGGGACAAAAGTTCTAGAGGGAAGATACTATGTTTAAACAAAACGTGTTCAGCGCGTTTTCTTTTAGTGTGGCGAGATCAGTCCAGGAATGGCAAAAGAATAAGGAATGGCAAAAGAATAAGGAAGAAAAAGCAGCCAAAGCAAATGTTCTTTTGCAGTAGCACGTAAATGCCAGAATGCCAGACATTCTGTTCACACTGATAAAAACTTAGTGTAAAGGAGATACAGTGCTTTAGTAGATGTTAATATTCAGTAGCAGTTGTGCTAAATAAAGAGATCTAGCCTGCATTTGTACTTGAGGAGAGGTATCCACACTTGAAAACCTTGGTGGGATGTGTATGGTCAATGGCACAAATTAATGTTGTGTAGTTTTATCTTCCAGAGATGGATTTGGTATAAAAAGATTGAAGAGAGATTGCAGGCACTCAGAAGAAAAATCTTATTTCACAGAATCGGTCCACTGCAAGGCCTAAAGATAGAATGACCAAGCCATAAAAGAGAAATTTATAAACACTGGCATTGCTCTTCATCTTGGGCCTAACATCAGCATAACGGGCAGTTTGTAAGTTAGATTGCCTGGAATAATGCTTGGTGTTCGGAGCGCTACAACCTTCAAACAGCCTTAAAACTACCTGCAGCAACGTTTTGGGAAAATCAGACATAACTCTCCATGCCAGATTCTACCAGCTAAGGCTGCTGCGACTCCGAATGCGTGATTTGCTCAGTTTGAAGCTTCCTCCACTGGTTAGCTAAAAAGAACAGCTACCCGGCCTCCCCTTTGGATATGGGGATGTTTAACCTAGGTTGTTGTGTTGGCAATGAGAGGGATGAAAACAAGAGTAGTTCAAAGGTTGGAGACTTGCTAAGAGTCCAGTACTTTGATCTACTGTCGGTGTTGTTATGTTTCTTTTAGGAAGCACATCCAGAGCCTTTATTTAACACTGCTACACACCACAGCTGGAGAATGGATCAGTAAATGAGAACCATGTTCTGGGAGTTTTACGTAGCTTTTAAAAAAACCAGTGCTGAGCTCACCAGAATTGGGGCCCTCTTCAGCTCCCTACTGAAGTTGGGAATATTGCCTGGGGAAAGAGCGCTCAGGAAGGCTGCCACTAGGCTCTGTATTTTTATTGTTATTTTTGGATGTCAGGATTTTCTCTACCTCTCGCTTTCCTCATGACTTCTTTGTTGGCTAGTGAAGATCACATGTGGCTTAAGCAGCATCTGGACTTTGCTTTGCTGTTGCTGGGTTGTGTTGTATTTCCCCTTGCCAAAATGAACCTAGATGGACTGCAAACGCGTTGTGCTGCCTGGATGCTGTGGGGCCCAATCCAAAGTCCACTGGAAACACTGACACTTGCTTAAGTGGCCTCAGGGGCAAGTGCAGTATATCCTTTGCTTGAAGTACAGCCCGTGTCCTCTACTGTAAAGGAGGGTCTCCTAAGAAGAGATGGCAAAATAATGCTTGCTTAGAAAATAAAGTCTCCGCCAGTTGGCTTAACAAGGTGAAGGCTGTGGAAGTGTTTGTAGATGAGTGTGTATGTGTTTGCTCCAGAAAGAGAAGGTTACGCTGCAAGGTGAAGTTGAGGGGAATTCCTTCTAAGCTCCCTCTTCAGTTGTCTGGCTAGTTGCAGTGGATTTGTTTGATTTGGTTTAGTTTTGAAAAATCCATTTTCACCAAAGGATGTCTTTGTGCTGTGGTAGGTTTGGGAGAAAAAGCAAAAAAAAAAAAAAAAAAATTACCAGGGGTTGTTTGAAGTTAACACATAATTGAGCTTAATGAATGGGGCTTTGGCATGGCCGAGCAAGGCAGGGAGAGCTCAAAAGGAAGCAGGCCTCTTTTGGCCCAAGTTAAGACCAGTGTTGAGGGAGAACTGCAGCTCTATACAAGCATAACAATGAATAGCAACAAATATTGGAGCTTCAGCATTTCATTATGTTTCTCTGGTTATCAAAACATACCAGGCTCCTTTTATATTATTATTATTGTTATTACTATTGTTGCTTTCCTCCTCTCGGATGGAGAAAGAAAGATCCCCCTTTGAAACAAGCGTGTTACAATTCTCCTATTCTCTGGCCTTTATAAAATTGGTAGTCTCAAGGTATGTGACCAGTTGGAACCTGTTGCATCTTGCAGCAAGTGATTTATGTTCGCAGTTTTGATTTGCCTCAATGAAAAGATTTTCATTCATAGCCCCCAGCTCTCCAGACGGATGGAATTGCTGCTCCATTTAAAAAGGAAAAGGGGTGACTCGCCTTGTTAGGAATTTTTTTTAAAGCACTGCAGCGCCTATATGCCTGCTTTGTCCTCCCTTCAGGGTGGCTGGCATTCTTCTCTCTCCTCCCCCTCCTCTCTCTCTCTCTCTCTCTCTTTTTAACAACGCTGAAGTTGTTTATTCTTTTTGGATGAAGTCTCAGATAGGCTACTGGGGATGTGTGCTTCAATTGATGGGGCCCCCTACCCCATTGTGGCTGTGTCAGGTCTAATTCATCTCACCGAAGCCCCCTTGTTCCTGAGCGCTCAATAGCGCAAGATGAGGCGATGGAGGCTGACAATGATGCCACACTCTTCACTTGGGGGCATCCAATTACAGGCGAGAGGGGCCCCCTGATTAATATGCTGAAATTAGTGGCCTCTGCCACAAATAATTCCTTGTTGAGTTGCAACAAAAAGGCAGTCCATGCTGCTTGTCTGGAGTGGTTATAGGGACAGACACAAACTGGTCATTTAAACTTCATTATCACTTTTCCACCTTGGAAAGAATGAGGGTGTGACTATGAATTCATGTTCTTGTTTACTGCGCCATTTAAAAGAAGAACGCAAATATTAATCCCAAACGTGATCCTGTCAGATCAGACTCATTACAGTGACACATTTTGGTCATGTTCTGTTTGTGGAGCTCAGTAAATAGTGGCGCAAATGTGCTGCCACCATACCCCTCTGAGCAACCCAATCTTGGTGGAATTCATGCTTACCTACTGAAATCCCTCATTTCTGAAGTCTACCTGCAACTGTGTATCAGTATTTCAGTTAGGGCGCTGGCCTGGGCATGTGTATAGTGTCAATAAGCAGTCTGGACGACTTTGATTTTGGGGAATGACAGAAGCTTGCCAGAGGGTGGGCGTACTTCTATCTGCCTGGAAATGGGCGGATTAGGAAAAGGGGATAAACTGTATTTATTTTAAGCACGGTATCATAAATGAGATGACTTTAGATCACGCTTGCCTTTTCACTGGCAGTGCATCACAAAAGTTTGGCCACAATTCATCGTATCAGTTTAATTTTGAAGGTTCATAGAACGCTGGGCGAAACGCCCCTTTGAAGGTGGGTATTGGCCAGGGCCACAATGGAGTGTCAGAGGTGTATGAATAGATTCAGAGAGAGGACTTTCATAGAGTCCCAAAGTCTTTAGTTTCACTGGTAAAACATTTACACAAAAGTTATTTTATCATAATAAAGGAGATGCATGATTTAATACTTAAACTGTTCCACTGAGCCCTCTAAGCTGTCCATTCCTTTGATTTCATTCAAGGGTTTGACAGATGGTTTATATTTTTTCAACCCAGAGGAAGTTGTATTCTGATAAAAGCTGAAGGAATGTATCTCAGGTTCTTGTGTATAATGTGGCATTTCCCTTTCTTCCTCACAAAATTAGACGTTTACTTGTGCCACTTACTTCCTTTGTTTCTGATTCTCCTCCAAGGTGTACACTGACACGGATCAAATGCATTCCTGTTCAGCAGAGAAGAGTCTTGGCATTAAAATGTGGATGATTATTATTAAAAAAAACCCAACAAAACAAAAAAACAAACCATGCTAAATGGCAGAGATAGCCCCTTAAGGAATCATGGGAGTGGCTTTGTGGAGAGACCTACAGCAATGCAGTCTGGAAGGGGGCCCAGCCTCTTGTCAGCATGGTGTCACATCAGAATGTAACTGATTGTCCGCCAATTCTTGGGACCCCCGTCACTTAGTTATGCCACATTTACATTAAATCCCTGTTGCCAGGATGGATGGCAGCCACTGACAAGAGACTAGGTTGAGACAAAGCATTTTTAAGATGAAACCTTAATTTAAATATGGATTATCTGCCTCCTGACAGGGTTAAGCAGTCTTTCTCTTTCTTTCTTTTTGTTGATGTTGTTGTTCATTAAAGCTATATTCCTTTGAATGTCAGTGCAAAGGTTTCTGCTTTAAAGGGCCTGAGGACTCCTTATTAGAGTGCACCTAGGATCTGATCATGCGAAACGCTTAAGAATGCGCACAGGTTTTCTCAGATGTATAGTGCCATTGACCCCAGTGGCATTATTCACTTTATTATTTATTATTCACAGTGGCAAGTATTTTAACATTTGAAGAATGGGGGGCCCTGCTTATGATAAAAATACCTCGAAGTGATGAATGGTCTCCCAGGCTTAGTGCTAGGAAGGGCTACTCACTGAAGTACAGTTGCTCATGTGGATAAGTCTTTACAGGTTTGGACCTGTAAGAGTGTGGAGCAGGAGGCACCGTTCTGCTCACGCTTTTCCCTACAGTTGGCAGCTGAATCCATGCTGGTAGAAGAGTGTATGTGTATGGGCAGGCTTCTCCTAAAGCAATCGTTTCAGTCTTTTTTTTTTTTTTTTTCTCTCCTTTCTTCATACAGATATTAAATTTATTTCAAACCCACCTTCCATGATCGCAGCTGGCAGTGTGGTAGCAGCTGTGCAAGGCCTGCATCTGGGGAACACTAACACTTTCCTCTCCTATCAATGCCTCACACATTTCCTATCACAAGTTATCAAATGTGATCCGGTAAGTGACTTTCTCTCGGTTGATCTCCTGCCTTAGAGTTTAAGAATGAATGCCTTCTTACTGCATAGTAGCTAATCTGACAGTAAATCTTGATAAAAGTCAAACCTCAGAGTGGGGTTTTTGAACGTGTTCTCTTGTGTCCGTCCTAGTTATTTAGCTGTCATTATATCCATTAATAATCTGTGATTACGCTGCTGCAGTGCACTGATAGGAATGCCACATTCAGCTCTAATGTTTGTTAGAGAGGCGTATCTGACAAAGCAAAGGAAACTGCATCGATTTAGGACATAGCAGAGGCTGTGTTTGGTTGTAGGTATTTAAGCTGGGAGTCTGTGTAAAACAAAACTTTGAAAATAAGACGAGGAAATAGTTACTGAGACCTCGTGGTATCTCTGACCTTATCTTTGACCATTCTTGAGGCCTTTTATTGTGCCAAGTGGTGTGAAAAAGCCCTTCTTAAAAGAGTTCTAATGATCTAATTTGGTTTATTACGTGCTAGACCTGCACAGTAGCTGGTATTCAATTCCTTTTCCGAACAAATGCTTGTCCCACGACTTTCTGACAAGGTAGATGGTCCTCACAGGACTCCCATTTTGCCCTGCAGCTTCCAGGAGATGCACATCAGTAACTAGTGAGCAATAAACCTTTCATGAGTGAATGGGCCAGGAAGGGAGCCTACAAGGAAGACCTAAAGTCAATGATCCATGTCATAATGGTGTGTGAAGTTGGGGCAGAGTTGAGCTTTGTTTTGTAACAATGTGGAAGACCAATAAATAGATGCTTTAAAAAGGTTCTTGTGAGGTCTCCAAGCGCTGGACAATGAGTCAAATAAAGACAACTCTGTGGTTAGCGGTAGAATCTTTGAGATGCTGTTAAATTGTTTTACATGTTAATAATTTAAATACATAGAGAACCATACTAGTCCAGACACTGCAAAACTAGGTTTGTATAATTGGACTTTATTGACAGGATTGAGTGATGTCTGGAAAGATGAATGCATCATAATTAATTATTCACAAAAGTATTTTACTTTTGATAGACTATGTGAAACAATTCCTGACAGATATCTCAGCTTACTATTTTGATCACCTTAACAACACCTCAGTATTGCACACGTTATTTTTGCCATTTATATATTACTGCAGCTAAAGAGCTGATATGTTAAATACTATAAGAACTTCAAATGCTGAAGTAAAATGCTGCTCAGTTTGGTATGTATGTGTAATGCTTTTAGTCAGTTTGTAAACAGTGTAGATATTTTGGTGTATGGTTGGCAACTATCCAGTGCAAGATATTTGAAGCAGGTACTGAGGAAAAATTCTAGGCTTGCTATCTGTTACGTCAGTATCTTGATTCAAACATTATTTAATCACTCCTGATACAGAACATTGAAGTAGATTCTCTCACATCTTGGAGAACAACCGTATGTCCTTATGTGACTTGACTTAGTTGATGACAGAGCTCTTTTAAAAGAAAAAGTAGTTTTAGCAAGGAGAATTCTTGCTTATTTTTTATTGTGCAGAGTCATCGCAAGGCCACAATCTGTATGACCTGAACTGAAATTACCAGCTTTAAGAGGAAGTTAACTCTCCAGCTTTCATTGCTAAATGTATGTGTTAGAGCAGCTAGAGTTAGAAGTAAGGTTTTGGTATAGGTTGCTACAGAAAATAAGCATCATAAAATTATATGTATGTATGTATACATATCCTGTTGTGTTTGTAATGGAATAAGGGAATAGCATCATCCACTACTGTTGCTCTGAGTAGAGAAAATTGCTTGGTTTCATACATAGCATGATCCCCTGCACAGAGACATTTCCCGTAAGATGTGCCCATGTAAATCATGGTTTTGAATGCTGTTTCTGTATCTTATATGAAGTTTGTAACTCCATAGTGATGGTTCCCCCAGTCAGACTGCACAATTGAATACACTTTATATTGGATTGTCTTGAAATATTAAGAGCGGGCATCATAACATGGCTAACATTCTCCCTGATTATCTATTAGCTAGAGCAACTGGTCTGTTGGATTTCAGGTTATATAATTACACTTTTTTACCTTTAGTCTCAAAGGAAGCTGAATCTAAAGTAAAATGAATATCACCTGATTGGAATTCCTTTATGGTTCATGTTTACGTTGGTAGGAATCCAATTTCCCATTTTGCCTTTGATCAGGGGTAATTAGAAGTCAGATAATCACAATTAGAAGTCTTGGGCTGTCTTCCATCATTCTATTCTTGACCCCATCATCCAAACAGATTGAATTTTACCTGACATTCATTTCCAGGCCAGAAATTCGCTAAACTAGATTAGATTGGGTTTCCATGCTGTCTGTTAGTACATTGGAATTCGTCTCCTGCCTGCCCCTACTCAGAGGCACCTTCAGACATGTGCTTGTTATCCAGAATGGGTCAGGCAGTAACAAAGGATTTCCAAGCAGTTTCTTTTTTGTTGTTGTTTGTTTCCTTTCGTATCTGACCCTGGAGTCTGATCATGTCTACTGTGTGTGTTAAAGGTATTTGACCACATCAGTTAAACTAGCAAGTCTTTTTTTTTTTTTTTTTCTTCACTGAGGAGCTTAATTAATCCAGGAAGGGTTTATGACCTTGAACAAACTGTGGGCATTGAAAATTTGGGTAGTGAAGCAGAAAAGTTGTTGGGAGAAGTTATCAGAGTAATGCACAAGTTTTGTATTTGCTTTTCAGTGTTGAGAATGAAAAAAGCTTTGGTGAGGTTGTTCACAGTGGATTTTATATTTTGCAGTTACTTTTGCTAGTGCTAATACGTTCCTGCAGACAAACTATTCATCTAATAGTCATCTGAGTAAGAAATGAACAAAAATGCCTAAAACGTTAAAAAAATATATTCACTAACTGTAGCTTAAGACACAGTGTGTTTGTAAAACATTGTAAAGATCATGTTCTAAAAAATACAGTTACAACATGCTGTACTTGGAGAATCTCACAGGAAAAAAAGTATTATGTGATCAAAAATTACCTTTAAATTATATAGTCCTATGTAATTATTCATGACTGGACTCTGGAGGGAGAAGAATATTTATAGAAATTCTTTTGAATGGTTTTAATTTTCAGAGCTCAAACATGCCATACACAAATGGTTAGGATTAAAAAAACCCAAACACTGAACCCCCACCAAACCCCACTGAACAATCAACTCCCCCAGCCCCGCCAAAAAACTGTTTTGCTCTGAAAATAAATTGGCTTTCAGTTTTGAACACTGAACATGCTACCCTTTTAAAACAGAATTATCTTCAAAAGTGCCTGGATTTGTAAAACTAAATATACCTAAACCTGTATTTTCACATACTACTCTTTCATACATCCAGTTCCAAGTGTGACTGAGGTATGTGGTACAGGACGTACAAGTAGAAGCCTTACAGTCAGGATGGATCCGTCATAGCTTGAGAAGGGGTGAAAGGACTTCATAGAGATCTTATTGTGAAGGCCAGAAGTATGTAGGAGCCAAAGACATGATGACTTTAGGATATGAGGCGTTTCTTTTTTGTCATTTAAAACGCTGTGTGTCTCTGTCAAGAGGAAATATTACACTAGGGTTTAAACCAGAAAAGGTCATAGGTTATGTGTTTTCAGTGAGCTGTAACTGATGGTCTGATCTGCTTAGAGGTAGGATTAACCTCCCTCTCTCTCAGAAAGGACTTGCAGAGAATTGTTTGCTTGGGTTTCTAATCTTATTTTACCCCAAATGCCATGTGCCCTTATTGGTGGCAGAGGAGATTCTTGTGGTAGTGGAATCAGTGAAAAGCTGGTAGATCACACAAGAAGCCTCTGAATGAAGGCAGAATTGAAACTGGGAAATAAAGAAAACAGCAGGCAGGTCACCCTCTCAGGAAAACAACATTCATTCTCAGTCATGCACATCCTAACACTTTTGACGGCAATTTATCATGGAAGACTGGGTTCACCGCAAGGGCTAACACATGTCATAGGTTAAATCAGAAAAGGCAATACTGAAAGGAAACTTCAAAGTCCTTAATACACAGAGTTAAATATGTTGGGAAAAAGCTTACGATGTTTGTTATAAAGATATGAGTAAACAGCGCACTGGAAGGATTTTGGCCAAATGTCCTGTGATTGTTTTGCCTATTTAAGGCACCATTTCTGTGTCACTGCAATGGATGTATGTGGCTCTGAAGAACACAACCATAACTTGCAGGAAGTTGGACAGGTTGAGCTAACAGGCCTTCTCTGGTTCTAACTGCTGTGGATTGATAAGTGGAATTGGATATATCTAGACATGGTATGGTTTGGTGCTTTATGCTTTTAATGCACACCAAAGTCCATGCAAGCAGCGAGGCCCTTGCACCCTCCTGAACACTCATTAGGATTGTGTGTGCATTCAGCTCTGAGAAAACGCTTCTGAAGCAAGGGAAAGATCTCACCCTGACTGAGATTCCAAGGTGAATACAGCAGCAGACTAAAAGCTTGGCAGCACTTTGTAATGCGTGGTTATGAAGGTGTGTAGTGGTGCTTCTGAACGATTTCTCCATTTTGGGGTCAGTCTGGTACATTCTTCTGTTCAGATGTTTTCTGAGATAGAAATCAGTTATCTCTTGAGCTGCCCACTGCTGCACATAGCAGCAGTTGGCAGGTAACACTGGGCACAGATATCTAAATGTACACTCAGCCTGGGAAAATCACTGTTTGTGACCATCACTTCTAGTATACTGTACTGTGGTAAAGCCCAGTTTCATGTCTTTGCACCTCCACTCACTTTTGATTGATTGACACTGCTGTCCAGTCCGACTGTTCCTATTTTTTCAAAAGGTATAAAGTACAGTGAGGTAAAAGACAGTATGAATGGACTTTTACAGACCTGCTGAGGTAACTGTTAACAGCACAGGCAGAAAAGTAGTAGTGCAAGCTATGGCATTTTACTGTGTCAAGTTCCTGCCCAGGTTAGTTACTACATGTCTCCAAATTGTAGTAGAGTGTCCATCACATTCAGCTGTAGACCTATGGGCTGAGACTAGTAATAAAACATCAGTCATGGCTTGTCCAGAGGACCATGTGTGGAGATGCTCGCCTAGGCCATTAAGCAGAAGATGGCAAGAGTTACCTGCTGAAGTCTGGATCCAGACTGGTATCCTGCAGGAAATGGGGTGGCTCGTCCAGTCCTTTTCACCATTTAGTGTTTGTTCCTCCTGTTCTTCACACACTCCTTTCAGTCTGCTGCCCTCCCAAATAACCTGATTATGTTTCTCTTGCTTTTTCAAGAAATGGTATTTGGTCTGTGATCTTACTGATTTTCTAAACGACTCTGGGTCTTTTTCTCCTTCCATTTAATCTTCTCTAGGATTGTTTACGAGCCTGCCAAGAACAGATTGAATCCCTCCTTGAATCCAGTCTACGTCAGGCACAGCAGCACAATGTATCTTCAGAAACAAAGACTGTAGAGGATGAAGCAGACCTTTCCTGCACACCTACTGATGTGCGAGATGTGAACATTTAAGAGGACTTCTTCTAATGGGTTTGCTTGGCGAGAAAAGCAAAGAAAGGGCATCTGAGAAGGAATCAGCATCAGGATCTCCCCCCCAGAAACCCTTTTCTCCAGGACATTTTTATACCAGAAGGGAAAACCAGTCTTGTTATATTTTTTTTCTTGCTCTGTCTCCCTTCCATCTGTGACTTCAAACAAACAAATAAACAAAAAATACCCCAAAAACTGTCTTAAAAAAAGAAAAAAATAGTATTTGCATTACCCCCAGGGGTTTGTGCTACAAAAATAGAGGATTTTATACAATAATAATCAACTAGTTTTTATATTAAAGTGTTCTTGTCTGTATGTTGTAAAAATAGGCATTAACACACAAAATGTCTCCAGGGGAGGTATTAGATTTGATTTCTTACATATAAAACAAACCAACCAACCATTTTTAAAGTAGAAGAGGGTTAGGGTTTTTTTTTTTTTTTTTTTAGATAGTAAATGAAATATTCTTTTTCTTTAAAAAGCATAGCTTTAACGCAGTTCTAGGCTTTTCTGTATCTTGCTTGCTTATGCATTTAGTCACTTTATAATTCATCTGTAAATGTTTATTTTATTTCCTTAGGTTTTTTTATCCTCTTCACCTTATAAATGGTTAACGTAACCCATAAGTTAGTGTATGTTAGGATGCAGCATTATTATATGTTAATCTTTTTTTTGTGCCTGTGGATTGCCTGTGCATAAGGCATTTGTAGGGTTCCAGCTTAGCATTGTTGGGAAAGGCCAATGTACTACTCATACGATACTCTATTATAAAGAGAAACCGAAATAGTGACATAATATATTATATTTTTGTAATCTTCATATTTTTGTAGTTACCTGTGTAAAAATGCTGGTCTGACCCCACAGATATTCAGCCTAATTATGGTCAGGTTCAATCCACAGTTCAGTCTTTTTTTTGTTTGTTTGTAATATTCTAAAACCATTCCATTCAAAGCACTTTCAGTCCATTAGATATAGGAAATACATTCTTTTATTGTGTGGGAATTTTTTTTTAATGGAATGGTTTGGAAATATATAAAGTGCTTGTTCGCAAACTTGGAATTGCAAAGCAAGTGCATTTAACTATGGTGTTAGAGGAGAGGTGATTTTTTTTTTTTTCCGAAGGTTGTGTTCCAGTGAGAGAAATTGCATTCACAAATTGCCAGGATATCTTCCTATCCTTTTCTATAGAAAAGTTGAAGTTTAGAATCCTTTGGTGCCAACTCATCTTTATAAATTAGGGGCCTTAAAGGTTCACATATAGGACACATAGTTTAAGGATTGTCGCTAGATGTTTTACAACTGAAGGTTTTTAAACACTAAAATATATAATTTATAGTTAAGGCTAAAAAGAATATTTATTGCAGAGGATGTTCGTAAGGCCAGTATGATTTGTAAAATAATGCAATCGCCCCTTTTTTAAAAAAAAAAAATCTTTCTACCCTTGATGTTGCAGTTTTAACACAGCTTATTAAAGAAAAAAGGACACGCTTCAAAGAACAAACCCAAAACAAAGCAGTCTATTTGGCCCCTTCCTATACATTTTCAAAAGCAGTCTAACCATGAAAAAAACGCCATAGTTAATAGATAATGAAAATTGGATTACTTGAAAGAAGTTCTTATTCCAGTATATGCCCCACTTTTTTATTTAGCTACAAATAGAAAATTTGCACATCTTGGCTATGTATCTTTTTATTATTATTTTAGAAAGTAGCTGAAGGGACGTGGACATAGCTGTTGAAGTTGATGCTCGAGGAGAATGTGATGGTGAAATGTATGTGAGAAAACTGCCGCTAAGGTGTTGATTGTAAAAAAACAAAACAACAAAAAAACAACAAAAAACAGAAAAAAGAAAAAAATTTTAAAACAAAAAAGAAAAAGAAAAAAGAAAAGGAGTGGATGCTCCATTTTTATTGAGCTGCTATGGATAAATTCCCAGCATGGTTTGAAAAAAAAATTAACATTGCTTTTCTGTATCTTTGTCATTGTGTTTTGCTGCTATTTTGTGGATCAGTTTTTTTTTTTTTTTTGTTATACAATGTCATATACTGCCATGTTATAGGTTTTAATTTTCTCATAGAAAATTATATTATTGACATCATTTTTTTGTAGATTTTTATGTGATCAATTTTTACTTAATGTGATTACTGCTCTATTCCAAAAAGGTTCCTGTTTCACAATACCTCATACTTCAGTTAACCGTGTCTAGACCAGGTTTTAATGTTCGTACACAGTGCCTCATAGTTCTACTGCAAATGGAAATGCATCGAACGTTATTCTGAATGGGTCTCGCGATTTGCAACTAGGTTGCATTAATTTAAAAACAGCAGACATTTCAGAAGATCAAGTAATGTCAGTTTTTTTGTTATGCATTTTATAAAGCTGGATTCTTTGTCTGATCTGGGGTTTATTATCATAGTAGTTTTAAGCTGTGTTATTAGCCACATTGATATATGAAAGGTGCATTATAATATAACTTTTGTATGCCGCCTGATGTGGTTTCCTATCAGCTGGGACACATCATTTGGTATGATAGGTTATCTTCTGGAACTCTTAAGTATTTTGTGTGTTTAATCTGTTATGATATACTAGTTTTTTGTTTTGGTGGGTTTTTTTTTTTTTTTTTTTTTTTTTTTTAATTATAGCATAATGCTAATTAAAAAAGCCTGTAAATCTCATAAATAAGCCAGCTAACAGAGTTGTATGCTGAAGAATAATCTAGCTGTTGCCTGTATGCTGCTAAACCAAAAGAGAATTAGAACTCATTTTGAGGCAAATGCAGTTGAGATCCTACATAGTGCATAAATAAAGTATTACAATGCTACTAGCAGTCGCAGGACCCAGGAGGACTGGATACATTCTGTCCAAATTTCAGGAACATTTCTTACTGCTTACCTCATAAAACACTTCTGTTTGTGGCATCTCTGTGTCTCTGAACCAAACATGATTATTGAGTTAGTGCTTGTTGGTTTATATTATGTGTTACACTGAGTGGCAGTGTGTACTGCAAATTTCTTTAAAATATTGTATGTACTAAAAGGCCAAATCCAGATAAGTGGGTTCATGTGCCAACAGAGATGCTTTATTTGTCACATTATTATAACAATCTGTAGTAAGCAAGCAATTCAGATTTGTACATTTTTATATTGTACTTATTGGCATCACTGGTCTGAAATGCACATTTTCACCAACAGACCTGTAACAGACAAGTTTCCAGCAAAAAAAAAAAAACTAAAGTCTAGAAATAAAATTGGTAAAACCCAATGTCTGCTTGTGTTGTTTTGTTGGGTTTTGTTTTCATTTTTTTTTAATTGCCTTCATGAATGCTGAATGGCAGTAACTACCTGATGGAGTAAGTAAACCACATGACATTTTCTGGTTTTGACTCTCCATACTTTTAATGGTTGCAATTGAAAACCTTTTGTTATTTTAGGAAGCCATAGGCATTTTTAGCAATGGGTAGGTGACTGACTGTCACAGTAATGTGTATTTTTAAAGAAGCAAAACATCTAAGGTAATACTCAGTAAAATGCCATTTGGTGGTTCTTGTCAAAAAAGGTAAATAAAGTAGGTGCTGGATGGTACAGAAGGCTTGTTTGTATTTATTTATCTGTGTAAGGTTTTGTGTCCAATACCTTTGCAGAAGACAGATAATCTGCTGCCTTTTCCGTCCCTTCCCCTCATACACAACGCTCACATCTTACTATTGTATCAGTAAGATAAGGAATAAACCCGAAAAAATGTAAAAGTCTACTAAAAATACAATAAAAAAGAATGAACGGGACAAAAATTAGGTATGATTATAAAGTGATAAAAACTATAACCTGTGTTCCAAACTGGGGATGCACACTATTAATTACCAGAGCTGAACACAGCAAAAACAGGTTATTTTTAGTGGAGATGATTAAGATTCTAACCTATGTATGTGACTGTTAAGCCTATGAAAATATTTCTGCCTTAAAAAAAAAAATTGCATAAAATATCAAGCGCTTGTCTCCTGTCACAAATTAGAAATCTAGTGTCTGCCTCCCGAGTTTCCCATTGACTAAACTTCACATTACAGCTGATTCTATGCAGTTAAGTACAGAAAGGACATGAAAAATTAAAATCTTAAGATAAGCCCTAACATGTTAATCATAGTCCAGCGCAAAGTAAGTTTGTCTTAGTGTAGCTACCAATAGATGAGTAACCATCTGCATCATAAGAATCCCAGTTGAGCTTGTATTACCTTGACAGTTTCCCAGCCATCTCAGACAAACCTGAACTGTGGCCTACTGTAAAACTGCAACTCTGGTAAAGTAATATCAGTACATAGCATCATCTGTAATGTTTTCCATTAGAAATTAGTAGCTCCTCAAGATGGTCAAGTTACACTGGTAGGTCACCGAGGAAAATTTGTATAGCAGTGAATGGAGATCTGAACTAGGTTCACTGTGACTTTAAATACAGATCAAGCCAAAGCTTAAACTGGACTCAGTCAAAAACCACTCATTTTTTTCCACAATCTTTAACCAGTTTTCTTCAAAATTTCAGCATGTTTTAAAGATGACATAGGGGGGGAAAAAAAAAAGGCTCACTTTTGTATCAGATGGCTAACCCTTCTGATTTTAAATGTTTGAAAATTGAGTGAAGTCATACTTAGGAAATCTTGATTTGGGACAAAAACCTTTTTGCTGATAAATAATGATTCAGCAAGTAGTTTAAACATGCATTTTGTTGAGCATGTTAAGCAGGTTTTGCGTTTCCTATCTGTTCTATAAGCTAGTAGGTTTAAGCCCACAGTGTCAGCTATGTTATTTATATTTTCCTTCTCAAACGTCATCTCTAAATGCAGACTACTAAATTTGAATGTTGGGCAAACTATGCCAGTGTTACTCACATTGCAAAGGGCAGAAAGACAAGAATGTAGCAAGAAAAACAATTTACTATAGGCTGTAAAAAATATGCATGTTCAGCTAGGCTATGCTGTAGCTTATTAAAGGGAAAAATACTGTATTTTCTTACATCAGACTGAGACATGTACATGGAAAAACCTCCAAAAAACCTGCTCAGTTCCACTGCTGAATTCAGACGGATTGACAAGCTTGGACCTTTTATGAACACTTAAATTCACATACTCTTTATTAATCTGTTAAATGTAAAAACTCAGAATCCACTTAAAATGCCAAATACACTTGAATGTAAGTGATAGAAAAATCCAGAAGATAAAGGAGAAAGTGAAGCTTGGAACTATTATTTCAAAGGAGTCATAGGAATGACCCAGGCATGTGGGCTAGATACCCTAATAAAGAATTCCTGGCAACGTCATTGAAAAGCTACAACAGGACAAAGGCAGTAAAGCTATAAATGATGGCATTTTAATGAATTCCTGACAGCATCATTTTATGGGAAATGTATCTCCTCAGACAAACATGGTATTTTTACGATCCTACAAATATAATTGATAATAGCAATTGCATTGACATGGCAAACATAGATTCCCATCTGGCTTTTGACCAGGTTCCACACTATTCCAATCAAACAATGAAAAAGGGATTGCAAATTAATCAACTGGATTACACTGAAAACGTGAAGCTTGCCAGACTTCTGATTTTGTTCTTTAGAGTCAAGGAGGAGAAATTTAGGATCAAGGCAGAAGCTATCCTTTTGTTTCTTTAATGCAATAGACATTTAAGAGGGAAAACGGAAATAATTTCTTGATGATCTTATTAGCATCTGCAGAACGCTACTTAGATCTGTCCTACGTTTCGCCTCTGTGAAGACTATGTATAGAGAAGTCTCCTGTTTCAGGGAGGTCACTAAGTATACACAGCCATCATTTTCCTGAGGGCTTTTACCTGAAGAGGGAACTGGAGAAAGACTCTGTACTCTGGGAATAAGGCACACAGGTGCCTTTGCTCTGTGTGTGCCCTGCTGATGCCAGCACCCTGTGGGTGGTGCTCCTGCAACAGATCTGCTCCTGGAGTACACACCACCCCCTCTACTGAACTCCTGAAGCTGTTTTTAATGTGACCTTCAGAGCATCAATTCCTTCACAGAATAGCCCCAGGCTTAAGGAGCAGTCACTACCATACACAGACCAATGGAACAACAGCTTTTTACTTGTCTCAAGTTGCCTCTCTGGACAGTAGAGGCTGTGTTTAGTGGCTGCTAGAGGTCTTCCCTCTTATACAGAAGGGAAAAAATAATCCATCTGTGTGGATTTCATCTCTCAATTTTAATTATGGTTTATGTTATTTATAAAAACATTCTTGATGAAATTTCAGATGAAAAAAACCCTACATAGCAATCCATCTCAAAACAAGAATACCAGTCTGTCCATTGACGTGAAGACTGCAGTAGAAAATTGTTTTCCCATTATATTACAATGATATGCTAATGGACAGTCACAGCACAATCTTCCCTGCTAACATGTCTGTCAAGGAGTGAAGCCTACCTGAAAGCCAAAAACTGCCCAGTCAAATGAGACCTTGACTACATCTGCTCAGCTCTGACTAATCTGGCATGAACTGGAAAACAAAGAAGCAAAATAAGAACTTCATTAGGCAACTGTTGCTAAATTCACACTTGGTAACACATTTGGGGTGGGTGACCAGAGAGCAATAAGAACCTCCTCCCCACAAGTAACTGGCCTTAGACATGGGAAAAAAAAATACAAATCAGAGAGAATGGCCTGGGAGTGCTTGTGCTGGCAAATATATAAAGCAGTAACTGGTTTAGAGGGTAACCCCTGGGGGCTAGAAAGAGCCCCAGGTACGGATTATCTAATATCATCAAGAGATCTGAACCAAAGGAGGAATTGTTCCATGCACAGGCCAAGCTCCAAGCCAGGACCTGACGTGTTGACTGACTGGAGCAGGAGTCCTCCTGGGTCCATGTGCTAAAGGTCTAGGCCTTTGATCTGTGCATGTAGCATGTGCATAACAGAGCAGAAATTGCTATCCACTCACTATTCCCAACCTGCTAAGTAAGTAAGTTTTAGATTATATGTTGCTGAGTTGGGTGGTTTTGTTATTTCATCCATCCCACCTGACCGCCCTGTGACACTTGTCTTAATCCATCTGCAAGCTATATTCCAATAAATGCTTGGTCTCCTATGACAGCTAACACATTATCCACCAGAAGGATGTTATTTCTAACGTTAGCACCAGTCTTCAAGGAGCGGGGCTGAGATGGGCAAATCATTTAATAACCACTAAACCACCACTAGAGCATTACAACAACTCACCTGAGCCAGCACTCAACAAGTGACCTGGTGTCCTAAGTCACTACTCTGATGGCAAACCGTCCGAAACGGACAATTAAGCTTTTTGATGTTTTATTTCTCCTTTTATTAGATTTTATCACTATAGATTATTTGAATAGAGGGTTTTTGAAAGCTTTTTTGATTCTTAAACACCTGCAGGCCATAATTCTCTACATTTGATTGCTGGCTACTTTTAAGTATGAAGACCAAATCTTCAACAAATGTATATTGTTAAATACATCTACAGTCTTTTTATAGGCACAGATATAACATCTTCCCAAGATTTCTAGAAGGCATCAGCAATTATTTACTCAAAAGTAAACATTATTTCTTATAATACATTTATGTCCTGTTTTTGACTCAGTATTTTTGTAACTCTTAGTTACTCACTATGACCACTACGTTCCTTTTAGACAATAGGTCTACCAGCCACATACTAATCTAGATTTCTCTTTTCATAGAGACCCTTGGACTGCAAAGGATCTGAAAGACTCCTCCCTTATGGACAATCTCTTTCCAATATAAGTGAAAGAGTTCATCTGCCTTCACTTCTGCATGGTAGTGCTCAACAGTGCTGTAGACTCACACAAGTACATGCAAAGCCTCACGTTTGTGGAAACACAAGGGTTCTCTCATCCTCAAACAACTTTCCAATCACCTAAATACAGCCCTTCATGTTCGTAAATCCCTCTGTAAACCTGCTTAAGGTGCCTTCAGGGATCTCTTTCCCCATCTTTCATGTAAATCACAAGTCAAAGCTCCTTGAAGAAGTCCACATTTTTCTCTAACACCAGTTTGTTTCTTTCTCATTAGTTTGAGAAATAATGATGCTACTGAATCTTTCTGAGGTTTGTCCTCATCTTACTGCATAAGAGAAGTTAAAAGAAGAGCAAGACATACAATTATAATGAGCCAGATTCTCAATATGTGGTTCTAACAATGTTCCTGTGGTGAAGCAGGGTTATGAATTCCCAAATTGTGCTCAAATCATTTTCTGTCTTACTCAGGTGTTCTAGATACGACGCATAACATGATGCCATAAGTCCACGTGGCTTTAGGTTTACAGTGCACTTTAACTGCCCCACGAGCAAGGTCTCCTCAAAAAGGAAATACACTGCAGACATAACCTCTAGCTCTGCTTAAAAGCAACATACTATTATATCAATTCTTAGTTTCAAATAGTAATTTGTTTTTTAATTGTAGTTCAGAAACTGTCAAGACCTTATTAACGATAACTTCTGTATGTGTTTTTTAAAGGAGGTAAATGAGGTCTCAAAAATTCAATGTCTGCACATACATTGCAAAAAAAAGCCAGTTTAGAGAACAATGTAGGCATGTGTTTTTAAACTACTGTTCGTGCAGTCTGGTCAGGACTGTGTGACACAGTATACAGTGTTTTGTCATCCAAGGAATGTCTTTGATCAAGAGTTTATGCAAGAAGGAAAAAAAAGCCATGAAACCCTAATCCGTTCCCACAGTCCAGTAAACGTGAGCTGGACAAACAGTGGACAATAGCAGTAAAGCTTGCTGCTGGAACAATAGCTGCAACTAAAAAAATTAAAGGGTTGCTGACTCACAGTTCCTACTATCAAGAAAGATTCCATGCAGTATTGATTATTCTCCAGAATCCTGAAGATGCTGAAGGTTAAAAACTGTGATAAAGCAGCAAAATATGCTGCTAAACAATAAAAATAAAATGAAGGACAGCAACAAATACTGATGTTGATTCTGTCTAGCGCAGAATCAGGATACAGAGACTGAATCATAAATTTTTCTGTCTAAAAAATTTACCAAAATAAACTCTATATTTATTATAAACAAATATCAGTTGAGTTTTTGGTCAGTACGTCACTATTTCAGGTACCATCCACACAAATTCTGCACAATTACAATCAAGCTTTCTAATTTTTCGAGACAAAAGCTATTCACTATTTCTTGTATCTATTCAGAAATCTTCTGTAGGCAATTTTGCCATGCCAAAAGCAGATACACAGAACACTGCCACTGGTTAATTACACATGTATATGAAATATGATAGAATAATTAAAAACATTGTATAGCAATCCACTTCAGAATTAACTGGCAGTTACTGTGGCTGATTTTTTTTACCTGTCATATATTTAATGAGAATAAACAGGTACTACTTTAACTTAATAAAGATTTCTGAAGTCTCCTATATTGGCTTTATTTCAGATAAGCTTAGTGACCACGTTTCCTTCCACATAGTATTACATCATTTGGTAGAGCTATATGTATGTTCAGGACTTGCAAAGTCCTTAAAGAATCTTAGGGTAAAAATGCTGCAAGAACGTGATTATTACACTTAGGAAATAAACACTCCAGTGATTAAGGTAGGAATATTCAGTGTGATGACAAAGAGATACTCAAGTTAGCTACAAATGAGCTGACTGTATAAGCAGTGTTAAAACCAAGCTTATTTGGATATTCAACAGCATTGTACATCAGTTAGATCAGTGCTTTGTTCTAACGTAGGGATACTCTTTCTGCTGCATTAGGCTGGCTTTAATTTTAGCCCAGATATCATCCCATTGCACAGTGTCGTCTAGACAAAGAATCAAGAGCTCCAAGTTATCTTCTTGTCTCTGCTAAGGAAACCATTATTTTCAAGTCTGTGCATGGAGTTATATGCTTAGACTGCTTTCAAAATAGCGCACAAAGCTTTTTATCGTTATTTTTCATGTCAATAGATGCTGAGCTGGTTCTGCAGTTCCAAACACTGGGACACACTGAAGCACTTCAGTATCAGATTGCTCCAGTTGGCCTTTAGACATGAATCCTAGACACCAAAACTTGCAACTGGAAACTTGCTGCAGAACTCATTTCACACCTCCCAAATCCCCTTTTTCTCTGGTGATATATACATTTCTGAGGTAATGTGTACTGTCATAACTTTATCCATTAAAAAAACAACTCTGGCAGACTGTAAAATGAGAATGTTCATGGTTACTTGTCAAAGTATGAAAGCTGAAGTTTTAGGCTGTAAGTAGACCAGAACCCATTATCATAAGAAGTTGCAAAGGGCAGTATTCAAAAGGCACTAACATGTGTACTGAGTAGCACCAAGAATATTAAAGAATTAAAACATTAATAGAAATGTTAAGCCTTTTGTCTCAAAGCAAAGCCTTTCTCTTTACAAAGATCAGGATGAGATCTAGTATCACATGTACATTGCTCTATCTGCCCTATCCAGCTTTGTTATAACCTTCTCCGGAATGCCCTGAATAAACTCCCATCAGAAATAAAAGTTCTAATCCAGAAAGACTACAGATAATTCTAATCTTCCATCAGATTCCAGACTATATTCTTAAAATTATGCACACCAACACCAGCAGTTTGTCAAGATGTGTAGTGCTTCATGCTGCTATCATTGCAAAATTGTTTCGAGAAAGCAATTACCTACAAGGAGTCTTATCCTCATCTTGCTTGCCCACATCTTTACCTCCAGAAAATTACATTTGTTAATATCAGCACTCCCTTTCAAGCATGCAACACTGCCGAGCAATTACAGGACATTATAAAAAACAAACAAAACAAAACAACAAACCAAAACAAAATAACAAAACACCACAAATGTTCAAACAACCCACCCGTGAAGAAGGCACCCACTTTTATTTGAGAATGAAACTAGAAAAGAATCTAGTATTATTAAATCAGATCTTGAAACAGAAGGCTGTATCTAATAAAATATACAGCTTTGGCAGCTTGTGAGTAAATAAATATTAGATCCAGGCCTGCAGTTGCATGATTTTTATAAATAAAAGATTTTATTTTTAATGTTCTTTTCTTGTAACACCTTAATGCAGAGATAGGCATTAAAACTTTACATTCAAAAAGGGATGTGGATGCATACTGAACAAAAAGATGTCAACAGAACAGGATTTGTGCATTTACAACCTTGAAAATTCAGATCTCTTTCTGTGGACCAACTCATGTATCTTAAAAGGCTACTAGTTCTTACTTTAAAGCACTGGGGAGTATTAGGGAGCAGGCAGACCTCTGACAGATGATCTCCCTTTGTTCCAATATGGGAAGCTGTATTTTCAGCCAAAGTGTAAATAAGCATTCATAAATACATCAGAGGGCTCAAACTCTTGCACCTCTTCATAAAACCTATATAAACTTTGGAGCTCCTAATTTTGTCTCAACGTAACCTATTTAAAAGTAATAAAAATGTGCTACCTTTCTAGAAATCCTAAAGACAAAATGTGTACTTTACTCATCAAAAATAATCCTATAAAAACAGTGTTTAAACCAGTCTTTATTTTTCTTCCTCTAACTGCTGTATAGCCACAAAGCTAGCAACATGAGTTTGCACAGGTGCTATGTGCACATTAGAACACACTATTGCTTATGTATTTCATACCTCAATCAGATCAAAAAGTCACATAAGCAAATAAAGCATGCCAAACTGGGAAGCCAGACTTTCCTTACACATCCACATGTAAATTATCATAACACTGTTTCAGAAAAACAACAGGATTTGAATGAGCCAAACTTCTCCTACAGGGTTGATTTTTAAGTGAACAATTTTTCTGATTTCACCCATTTCTGCTGAATTACAGATGCTCATTCAAAGCTGAAATTGATCCCCTTCACATTACAGTTTACAACAAATGGAAAAAAAGTTTGCTGCTTAATGAAGATATAAAAAGTGCTTTATTCATTATTTTTTTTTTAACTGTACTGATGTAGTACAACAACACAGATAACCTACAAAGTCAGATTTACATGTTCTAGTGAGGGCTGATTTGGTATTAGCAGCTGCTGATCCCATGGCTATAAGACAGCATTGAATCAGCATGCAATTCTGCAGAGAACAAATTTACCGCAGTCCAGAGCTCACCCTTCTCTGCTGATGCCTCAAAACTCTGTGTACTCATCACATATCATAGAAAGAAGAGTTACAAGTTCTGGACTGAAAAGACTTCAGTACACTAGCAGTAATTAGCTTCGTATCCACCTTTTAATAAAGTTCTGTATTCCACAGCTTCAGCTGAGAGATGATCATGAAGAAACAAAACAAGCCAGAACGAAGCCCAGGCAAGTCAGAAATTTGTAAATTAAATGTTTCAAACATTCCTCCCTAACTACTGAGCACTAGATTTGATAAACAGTGATATATTTTTAAGTCTTAGCAACTTAAAATAATCTTAGCAGAAATTTTCCATTAAGAAATTTCCCAGAAATTTTCTTAACAGATCAAGTATTTCTGAAAAAAAACAAATCAAACCTGTTTGAAGATATAGCACAAAGCCACAATCTCTATGTCCTACTTTATTAATAACCAGTATTATAATCTACAAGATTGCATTTCTTTTTCTATATCTTTTCTATTCAGGCTTTAAAGCAATATTTAAGTTGCACAGTCAAGCATTCAAACCAGAAAATGCTCGAGCAACCCTGGTCCTCAAAACTTTATTCAGGTCCTCTGTGCACAGATCTTCTGATAGGGTCTTTTAATTACACTTGCTTCCACCAGTCCTGACCATTCAAGACAGGATGAGTAAACAGGGTGTGAAACTAATGAAGACATTTATAAGAATTTGTTTTATTTTGTTACAGATTTCAGGAGGATGTTAATGTAACAGGACAGGTGTCAAAAGTAAAGAAACCATATGGTTATATTTCACAAAACTGAATCCCGATTTTAGAAATTCAAATAGATTTTGGTTTTTGCCCAGTAACATTCTAGCTGGCTTAAGCACACACCTTTCACAGGTGTTTGCTAACTATAATGTTCCTGATTTTCTAGGTGACTGATCTGAGAAATACAGGCAAAAATACAAACATGCAGAAAAGCTAGGTACTCAGTCACTCGTGATGTTGGCGAGAAGCACATTCTGAAGTATTTAAGCACTCAAACCACAAAATTTGGAACGAGTCACTTTAGACATCTCGCATTGGTTAAGGCAAATAAAAAATATCCTTGATGCAACCTGGGCTTTCAATAATGAATAAAAATACCCCTATAGCATGCTGTGAAGACTCCACTGTTACAGCCCTGAACATCACAGAAAAACCCACAACTCTGTTGCAGAAAACAGTTTAAAATTGGCACCGAAAGTATGCAACTACATATCCAACAGAATTTTTAACCATACCTCATTTAATAAACACCAGCAGGCCCATACAAGACATGAAACACAAGATATTCAGAAAAATACAGACTAATACAATAAGAAACTCCATCAGTGTGTACACACATATGGAGCTAAATTAAAGACCTAATAGGCAACCCTAAACCTGGCATAGCCCAGTTTGAAGTCCTGGTTGCTACAATCTTTATAGTTAAATATATGTTTATACATATACTTACATAATAATTTATTCCAATAATATTAGTTTGTTATAAATAAAATTAAAGCAATACAAGAAAATTACCCACCAAACCAATTTTCAAGATGTCATTGATCACTTGACCTGCAAAGATCCTTTCTCAGTCAAGCAAAAATAATTTTTTGATGCAATCTCTAGAGTACCACTTTGCATATAACTTTATCACACATGTCTATTGATCAAATGCTTCACAGATACTTTGAGCTCTTATATCCTTTCCCTTGCTTTTACACACATTTTTGTAAACCATGTACAAAGATTCCAAAAAAGGCTGCATTCTAAGACATAAATACTTAGACCTCCAGTGTTTACTTCTCTTTGTACTATCATTCAAAAGAACAAAACTGACTTCTTTAGACCAAGATCCAAGAGGAGTTTATTTAAAGCATGATGCATGGATTTCAACAAAAAATATTTTGAATCAAAGTTAATCACAGATGGGTATCTAGTACTTTTTATTAATTTGAAGTGAACAGGTAAAAATTTGCACAAACAGTTTTGTGGATGCAGAGACAACTTTTTCAAATTTGGATTTCTCTGAAGCGATTATGAAACCCAATTAGCTCTCTTTAGTATGCAATCTTTCTGGTTTGTGTCTATCTATTTACTGAGATAACAAGGTATGCTATTTTATTTTGCTTCTGTTTTAACATACTTGCAGTTTGGTGCTTGTTCTGATTCCCAGCGGTTTAGCTGCATAGCAATTAAGTCAACTGTATTCAGACTGACCTAAATGAAGAGACCATCAACGCTGTCACGTCTCTTGCAAGGTCTCAAATGAGAAACAAGCTCCAAATGAGTCCTACCTCAACGTTACTTTATTTCAAAGAAATGCACCATGTAATCAGAAGAGCTGTATCATGTGTACGTATGTTTTGTACTCTCTATTTTAACAACTTCTATCTATATAAATATTTGTGAACTCCTACAATTTCTTACACAACAACCTCCTCCACTAGATGGCTCTAAATCTCAACTATGTGTATCAAAGCTGTTTGATGACTTACACATGTAAGACAAACAAACAAACAAAAAGTACACCAGCAACCAGTTATTAAGAAAAGCCTCTGATGTTGGCATACTTGCACAGTCAGAACAGACAAAACGTAAATGATTATTTTGAAAGAAACTGATACATACACACCCAACTCCCTCCATACAGTCAGCAAAATTGTTTTGTTATCTTCAGAGTTCAAAATCCAAAAATTTTAGCAGAATGCACATCCTTCATATCCCGGGTGTGAATACAGAGTGTACTTTTAAAAATTCAAGTTGCTTATTTTCTTGTATAGTAAAAAAACTGTACAAGTAAAACAGAACAGAGGTCTGGATGGCATAAAGTAGTGTTGTCCAAGGATATGGCCATATTCAAACACGTCCTTCACCCCAAACACTTTACCCTGCACACAGCTTCCGATACCCATGTAAGTCAGATCTGTCTTTATGAAGCTACACTATGCCATGCAGACTTAGCCAGACACACACGTTACAACTGATAAAAGGTCTTCCAGAATTCATTTTATACCTGTATTGCAAATGGTATATGCCAAGACATCCAGCAGCCCAACCCAAAATATCTTTCAGGTAAAATAATTGATGTATTTCTCTTAAACTAACATAGTTAAATAGATTTACTGATAGCATCCATTTTTTGGAATGAGACAAAAAGAGTACATTTTCAAGACTGAAAAATAAAAAGCTATTCCTTGATAAAAGGTACTAGTAAATACAGTAAATCAGTATCACAACTCTTCTGGTAGTCATGTTTCTCTTACTGATCGCTTCAGTTGCTAGCTTTTTTGGGTTTGGGTTTTGAGGGGGTGTTAGGAGGGTTCTCGACCCCCCCCTGACTGGATCGGTCTTGCAGAACTTGTGGAAAATGCAAATTTCATGTTCTGAGCTGCAGTTACTTTATGAGCAGGTATCTTAATCTTTACATTCTGACTTCATTTGTTGTTCTATCCTTTACCCACAAAAGTGCTACCTACTGCAAAGTCTGCAGGCAACTGATTATATTTTACTTCACCTACAATATCTACACATTGTGTAAACTGAATGATCTGCATACACAGATTTTTAAGTGACATACATCCTTTAAATAAGGAAACTTTGAAAATACATGTTTTCTTTTTGAGGAATTAATCTATCAGTTCAAGGCTAATGAGGAATTAAAGCAAATATTTCTACTTAACAGGTTTACACACTAGTTTTTCAGTGATTCAAAATAAAACCCAGAGACAATAGACAATAAACAACATATGAGAAGTACTATTGCAAGTTCAACGGTTTTCCCTTTCTCCTTTAATATTTAGCACCTCTTCACTATTTTAGTTTTGTTTAAAATAAGAGTAGATAAACACTTCTCCAGTTATCTGTTCTTTTAATGTTTCTTCTTTGGTCATCCATGTTTATCTTCATCTGTTATATTCAAAATGTTAGTAAAGATCTTTCAGTACTGATTCTAAAATCAGACTGAATATTTAGCACTGAACAAACCTAAAAAAGAATACACAAGAGTGTTTCAAAGCATCTATTTTCCAAGAAGAATGCCCAACAAAACTCCCAATTCCTCCACTTCTCCTCTTCCGGTCCCAGTTGTAATTCATTGTCAAACAATATTTTCAATTTTCTTTTAAAGAATATTTATCTTTTACTTTGTATTTGCTATCAGTTGGGCAATTTTCAACTATCAAGTATTTTCACTTAATTCACTTCATTTCAGTTCTTTTTACTATGATTGCAGAAGGAGAACAATAATTGCTCTCCACAAATACTACGGTTTTGAGCAGGTTTAGAGACTAAATATTTTCAAAAATTAATACCCATATTCTGCTAAAATAACAACTTAATCCTACAAACCTGTTTAAATTTTCCTCTGATTTTTTCCAGATCTTCTTGCAGTTTATCATAGGTGGGGTCTTCATATGGGAATTTCTGAATCATCCCTATTAATGAATCCAGAGCTCTTATCCTTTTGCTACAAAAAAAAAAACAAACAGAAAAAACAATGAGCCTACTACAGAAGTTTTTTCAGTTCATCAATATGAAAATTATACTAATACTTATATATAATATATAATAATTCAGTGCAGCCCTCCATTCTTCAATTCAACTTCTCCCACCTAGCTCAGAGTGTGTATTTGATACATATTTAAGCCATGATCAGAAATTAAGCTGCAGCACAACTGACAAAAGTTTTGCTTTTAACTTACTTGCCAGAAGTTGACAAATATTCAAGAATCTTCAGAAATATTTAGATGACTGAGCAAAATTAAGAAATGCAATTAAAAAAAGCTCACCAGAACACATGTTAAAATGGCTGACAGTATTGTGGCAATTATGTCAGATAATTTAATCAAAACTGAACAGAAAAAAATTATGGAGAGAAGAATGAAAGTCCTAGAAAAATGGAGGTAGGGACATCTGGAGGTCATCTAGTCCACCTTCTGTGGAAGCTGGACTAACTTCAAAGCTAGATAAGGTTGCTCAGGGCCATCTCCAACCAGACTTTGAAAATCTACAAAGATGGAGCTTTTAGAGTCTCTCTGGACAACTTCTCCCATCACTTAGTTATGTGCATTGGAAAGGACCTTCTCCTTATGCCCCATCAGAACTTGTTTCAAATTGTGAAAGTTGCTTATTATCCTTTCACTGTGCAATTCTGCAAGGAATGTGTCTCCACCTTACCTAGCACTTCGTCTGACGTGGTACAACTAGGTATCTCCCTTGTCTTCTCTTCTGCAGGCTGAAGAAACCAAGTTCCCTTACCCTATTTTCAGTATCCCATGGTCCAGCATATGATACCACCCTAAGTGGCCCTCTGCTGACCTGTCGTCTGTTTTTTGGTGTTTCTTCAGGCAAAACTGAACAGCATAATTTGAAACAGTATTAAAGGAACAGTAATTTTTTTTACCTTACCTGTTCTTCTCATCCGTGCACTTCTGGAGCAGACACTGCCACGTCAGTGCAAACCCAAGGTAGCTGCCAATCTGCAAATTTATAAGAATGTCATGAGGGAAAAAAAAAACCAAACAACATGCAGCGGATATACTCAAACAGAAATAAAGCACTACATTGTATCCAATTCTTCAGGAAACAAATCACTGGATATAAACATGTTTCTGCACTGGAAAGTTCAGTAAATTAAGTAAGGTAAACGAGGGCTGTGTTACACATTACAACAGTCAGAAAACTTCCTGTAAGAATCTATTTAGCATAGGCAAAAATATTTAAAATGCAGCATAAAAAGCAATTCTGAAAAAAACCAGACATACTTTATGTGTTTTGAACCCTCAGATTTAATAAAGCATGGTAGTAGGGAGACAGTTAGAAAACAACTTATTTAACATGTTTTGGTAAGTATTTATTTTTGCAGCACTGTCAGTTTAAGCAGCCCACACACAGCCCAACAAAAAGGTGTACCAGCTGGACAGAGAGAGCTACCAAAGAGGAAACCACACTTCCCACCCACCC